ATGCTTTTGAGGTTATGTTCAATAGTTTATTTTATTCCAAACAAGTACAATCTTGTCATAAATGAAAGAGGAAAATATAGAGAGAGTAAGTCTGAAAGGGAAAAAAATAAAAGATTTTTTTCTTTTAACTCTAATGCCTGAAATAACATTTTCCATGGGCAGTAGTTTCAAGGGAAAGTTAGAAATCCAACCTTGGCAGTCCTTCCCCTGGTCCCAGCCAAGGTAGAGAAAGGCAGCGAGGCAGTTCTCTTGAAATGACAGAAGCAGTTGCTTCTTTAATACAGCTCAGACTTTCTCCAGACTTCCCAAATAATTCTTTTTTTAGAGCTTTTCCCAGAAGTCCATATGCTAATAGATCTTTTGTCATTAATTTCAGAGTTCACTATTGAAAGCCTTAAATTGTGTAACTTACTGCTCACTATGTTATCATTAACCTTAAACTTAAAAAATCATAATCCAAAACAGTTCACATACTTTTCCAACGGGAACAGTCGTTTTTTCCTTTGGATCTAATTTATCAGTCATATGAAAGAGAAATGTGCATAGTTTAAGAATTCATTACAAATACTGAGATTTTCTTATAAACATTCCAAGGGAAATGTTAGTCCTTCCAAATCACTGTACTTGCCTTGTGAGGGAAGAAGGGTAGCTTAGTGATTGTTTAAGAATCGTCAATTCCAGCCTGTAGCTGAGACTGATAGTCATAAGGAACTACACGCATATCTCATTTTTAAGGTAGAGGGTCTTCCTTTCAATTTGTAAAAAATACAACACCTTTGAAGTGCAATAAAATGAGGTATACCTGTGGTTTTATAACCTCATTACCATGTCCTCACAGCTTCTCAGCATCGCTCCAGACTGCAAACTCCATGAGGGTATAGACTGGGTTTTACTTTATGTTTGGGAAAATGTTAAGAAAAATAGCATCTAAGACTGGAAAACTTGACGTAAATTAGCCTTTTCTTCCCAATCTAAATTTAGAGATTTGGGGTATAGTGCCTGGGACCATTTATAGGAGAATGCCAGAGAGAACAGAAAATAATGTGAGATCCACCAGAGAACTTTTCTACGGTAGAGACAAATGGAGATAAAACCAGTTTCCTTATATCTTGCTCCTGACTCCCAGATGTGTTTCGACAATTATGAGAGCAAACCCAATATAGTGCTGTTTACTTCTGTGCCAGTTGGTATTGGGCTTTGCAAAGAATAGAAAATGCATGTTCTAGGTTCCTCCAGCCATTTCTGCCCTCACAAGAAACTTGAGTTTTGCTTCCTCATGTATTGAGAGGGAGGGGGCGTTGTGGGACATAGCCACAATGGTGTGGTTCAATCTGCGTTCTTTTGTGTTGGTCTCATGTAACCTGCACTTTTTGAGCACGTCATTACTGTTCTGGGTGCTGTAGAGCCAGAGATACACAAAACACATCTGGTCTCGCCGATGAAGAAGGTATCCATACAAGTTGCAAACTCCCCTCCCAGAATGTTTTCACCGGAGCCCCGGATACACTCCTAACCTTCCTCTTATTTTCTGAGGTCACCACTTACCACCTTCTGGAGAGAGATCTTGGTCTGCTTCTTTTCTGTATCTCTGCGATAAGAGGCAAAGCCATATTCTTGAAAATCTGTTTGAAAGGTAATGAGCTAATCATCTCAAATCTTAAATCAGTCATCATGAATTTACTGCCATTGGATCTTTTTGAAGTCCCTGAAGTCATGAATAACTGGAAAATCAGATATGACAATTTAGTTTAATAAAAAGTTAATATAGATAAGCTGAGATGTATAATAAAATCTCACAGCTGGAAGAGAACATGGTACTTTATTCCAGTGCTTGGTTACACTTTTTGTTCATGGTCCTTTATATCCGAGTTCCTTGGCAATCCCATTTCTGCCACCTTGGTCCCTTTGGGATCCCCTCTTTTTCTCCCTCAGAATTAATTTTTACTTGTGGAATCTGAATTCATTCTTAAGGGTCTCCCTTGTTAGTACCTTTAGGACCGAGTTCAAATTACCTAGCAGGTCATATGAGGATTTTCACAATAACTCTATTATTTGGACTCTTCTCTTCAACCCCCTTAATGGTCCAGCCACAATATCTGCTATTTGCTGCTGTTTAGAATCACACCCTCACTCTCACCTTCATTTGTCTTTCCACCCTTTGAACTCTTAGCCTTCAAAGATTAGCAGATGCCACTTTCTCTGTGAAGCTCCTTGACTCTTCCACCACCAACCCCCCAAACCCCAATAATGTACTTGTCCTTCGGCACTTCCAGCCATTTTTTCAACAATATTTATTGCACACATATTGTATATATGTAAGCAAAAGGTATTCACACAGAATAATTAAGATGCTGAGCTCTAGAACCAGATTCCCTGAATGTGAATCTTAACTTTGCCACTGAGCCTTGAGCAAATTACTTGACTTCTCTGGGCTCGGGTTTCGTCATCTATAATATAAGGATTATAACCATACCTATCTCATAGAGTTATTGTGAAGAGTCAGTGTTGCAAAGCTTATTCTCAGAAAGCACTGTGAATATCCATTGTTGTCGTTATTCAACCTGAAAGTAAGCTCCATGAGAGAAGGGAATTTTTGCTCCCTGTTATATCCCCAAGGGCCTAGATCAGTGCCTGGCACTAACAGATGCTTTAAATATGTGTTGAATGAATGAATGAATGAATGAATATATCTGCCAGGTATACATCTAATCTCAGCCTTGAATTAGATAGACAAGATCCATCTGTGATGGCATTTACTGTAAGCTGTAGACAAAAACAAGTAAACCAATGTTCATATAGTTGTATGTGCTGTGAAGAATGTGCAACAGGGAAATAGGACAGAGACCAGGGGTGGATGAGCAGAATTAAGTGGGGTGCGCAAGCCATGCAGATTTCATGTCAAGATTTCAGCAAAGAGAGCAGAGGGGAAAACAAGTTCTGCTAGTTAGCTAGCATAGCATCTCCCTGCAGCCTCCAAAGCGTTCTTTGACTGTCTTCCCTACAGGACTGGGAGCATCCTAAAAGAGGGACTATATCTCATACTTCTTTATAAACACAGTGGCTAGCTAATAATTTGAACCTTGTTAAATATTTGTTGATTAAACAAAGGAATCCTCTTAAGAAAGTGCCCTCCTATTTGGAAATGCAGGCAGTTGACTGTCCTGCCTGTCTTCTCTTTTTTCTCCTTGCATCTTCTACCCTCCTGAAGTCTAGGCAATACATCCAACATTGACTCATCTTATCCTGAACTCTAACATTAGGTGGTCACTTTCCTCCCACCTCCAAATTTCAACATTTCCACATCCTCTTGCTATTCGGAATTAGGTTCAGAGCAACAGAAACTGTTCTGTAAATGGAAAAAGCTTCAACGAAGATTTTGATTTTTGGAAACTCGTTTTGTTAAATTTTAAACATTTGTCCTTTGAGCAGCTCATTTTAGGCTCATTTTTATGTTGATAACATATCATTTAAATGCCCATGTTCTATTACTATTTTTCAATGAATTTGTGAACATGTGACGTTGTGATGTATAATAAGAAATATATATTTGATCTTCATCCCATTCCTGCCACACAGTTCCTAAAACCCTTGGAATTTTCCAAGTGTTGAGAGCAAACAAGATGTCTTTTGTTAAGTTAATGAAATGACTTTTGGAAAGCCCCTAAATCACCTAAGTATGGATGGGGACTGATGGCCAGTGGAGCCAACCATGAGATCAGTGGGCTGGAACTTTCAATCCCATTCCCCATTCCCACTCCCTGGGATGGGAGAGGGGCTGGAGATTTAGTTCAGTCACCAACGGCTGAATTTGATGATTTAATCAATCATGCCTATATAGTGAAGCCTCTAAAAACCCAAAGGATGGTGAACATGTGGAGGTGCTGGGAAAGTGGAGCTCCTGGAGAGTGCATGGAAGTGCTGAGTCCCTGTCCCCACACCTTGCCCTGTGCATCTCTTCCATCTGGCTGTTTCTGAGTGATAACCTTTTATAATAAAATGATGACCTAGTAAATATGTAAAATGTTTCTCCAAGTCCTATGAGCCACTCTAGCAGATTAATAAACCCAAGAAGGGAACGCCTTTCTTGTTAGGACCTCCAGTCTTTAACCAGTTGGTCAGAAACATAGATGACAACCTACCTGGATGGTTGGTTGGCATGTGAAGTGGCGGAGTTGGGCAGTCTCGTGGGACTGAGCCCTTAACCTGTGTGGTCCAATGCTGTCTCTAGGTAGATAGTGTCAGAATTGAGTTGAATTGTAGGACACCCAGCTGGTGTTGGAGAATTGCTTGCTGGT